CACATTATAGACTTTTTTCTGCTCAATAGTGTGAGAGAGAAAACTAAACAGAGATCCAAAGAGCTAAAAGACTGTAAATTTATGAGAAAGATATCAAATTAGGCTGCGACTTTAGACTATGTGCATGATTAAAATGCATTCCCTTAAGACTTTTCTTAAGCTAAGTCGCCTGCGAAAAAGTCTATAAATTTCTAACAAAGAGATCAAAATCTATGACTTAGAATATGTGGATGATAAAGTTTCAATTTTAAGATTCTCACATATGTTAAAACAATTTTAAAACTTATGAAATGCTCAACAAAACTTTTTTTTTTTGTTTCTAAATGATTTCATAAGTAAAAATGTTTTAATAATTTCAATGTTTGTAGATCTGGAACATGCAATCTTTATCCAGCTTAATTCCCTCATAATTATACGCTATTTCAGTTAAAGATGAGTAGTTAAAGTCAGATTTGACTTGTGTATAAATACTTTGGGACTTGTGTTTCTCTCTTTCGCTCACTCCAAAGATAAATCTTAAAGTTGCTAAAGAGAGTGACGTCTATGGAGGAAAATCAAAGGGTTTGTGTTACTGGTTCAGCAGGATACATTGCTTCATGGCTCGTCAAGTTTCTTCTCTCTCGTGGCTACACTGTCCATGGAACCGTTCGAGATCCTCGTAAGGAAGAAGAAACAAACAAAAAATCTTATCTTGTGAACTTTTGAATATACTCTGTTTCTTGATGTTTTGCATGGATTGTTTCATTGTTCTCAGGTGATGAAAAGAATGAACATTTGAAGAAATTAGATTATGCAGCAAAGAATCTGAAACTTTTCAAGGCGGATTTGTTTGATTATGAAGCTCTTTCTTCAGCTATCTCTGGTTGCTCTGGTGTATTCCATATCGCTTCTCCTGTGCCTTTTGAAGGTGTTCCTCTCACAGAGGCAAGTGCTTAAACCATGCTTCTTGTACTTCTCCTTTTGTTTCTATCTTGAATCACTTTTAAAAAACCAACTTTGAATCTAAAATACATTCAGGAAGAACTGATTAAACCAGCTCTCACTGGGACTAAGAATGTTCTTGAAGCATGCGAAGAAGCTAAAGTGAAGAAAGTTGTGGTTGTATCATCAATTGCTGCAGTTGTTTACAATCCAAAATGGCCTAAAGATGTTGCTAAAGACGAGGATTGTTGGTCAGACACTCAATACCTTCACTCACTTGAGGTAATGTATCTTTGAAGCTAACACATTTGGTCTGATGAATCTGTTTTATGTATAGATCAAAGACAGTAATGAAATATTTGTGTGTTTTGTATGATGCAAAATATTGAGGAACTCAGGGTTATTGGCGTTATTACTATCTTGCAAAAACATTAATGGAACGTGAAGCTTTAGAGTGGAGCAAGAAAAGCTTAGCTGATGTTGTTACGGTTTGTCCCTCCGTCACGATAGGCCCTAGGCTTCAATCTAAGCTTAACTCTAGTAGCTTGGGACTTCTCAAGTTTATAAAAGGTGATGTAATGTTGTGTTTTCTCTAATTACATATCTTGGCTAAGTGATTCATTCTTGAGGATTGGTGTGCGAGTTTCAGGCGGTATAAAGTCATTGTTGAGCGATCAATTGTACCTTGTGGATGTTCGTGATGTCGCAGATGCGCTTTTGTTGGTTTATGAGAATCAAGAAGCAAAAGGAAGATACATATGCAATTCTCATTCACTTGACAATAATGCTCTTATGGAAAAGCTGAAGAATATGTATCCTAAACGCAACTTCCCTGAAAGGTAAAGCGAAATCCAACCAACGGTTTTGCTTTTCGGACTTTGAGATTACGGTATGATCTGAGTAAATGTATAAATGGCAGTTTCGCG